TATTTTAGAATATTTTTCTTCTTCCTCCCCTCTCCCTCCTGTCTCTTCCCCATAAAATTGTATTGTGTGGCTAATTCTTTTGGAAGGAAGAGAGCAGCATTAATATCATTTCTGATTTGGGCCTTTCTCCTAAGTGGTTATGTTCTCACCTGAAATACCTCTTGATAGCAGAGCTAAAAAGAGGGATTACAAGGGGAGAGAAGACTCGGCAAGGAAGGAGCCAGGAGACAGCCTGGAGCGGGGAGAGTGGAGCCTGGGTCAAGGAACACAGTCTGTGGCTTCCTGCCAGTTCCCTCATCGCCAACCACCTGACTCTACCCTCACTCCCATCCCAAGCCTTTTCCTGAGCATCACTGAAGTGATTATTTAAAAGGCAGCTTCTTGGGCCCCAACTCTACACCTGCTACATTTCTGGGTTGGGGTTCAGGAGTTTGCCTTTCAACAAGTTCCTGCAGGCAATTCCCACGCACACTCAAGTTAAAGCCACTAGCTTAAGGGTCTATGCTCAGAGACCGTCTGACTCCTGGTGACTTTGTAATTTGAGAGTTTTCACATGGCAACTGAAGACAGGCTTGATTGGTTGGTTCACAAGGTATCAGGCACCTTCGAAAATTAATAGTACAGAATGATGGGGCAATTCTATTTGTAGGCCAAAATTGCAGATAAAAGTAAGAAAACCTGGCCTAAATGACAGAGAAGGCAATAATCAATACACTAACATAAAACAATAATGCAGCTGGTACAATAAAGCAATCCCGTGGGGAGCTGTAGAGTGCATCATTAGCGTCCCGTCGTAATGAAGCCCGCAGAATGCGGCTCGCATTAGCCAGGGCAAAGCCTCTTCAATGCTGAATATTCTGCCACGCTGCAGGCACATTTATTTTATTTGAAAGAAGAATGGTCCTGTTGCCAAAGCCATCAGATGGTAAAAAGAGATATATTTGATGGATAATAAAAAAGGGTCTGCCACAGCCTCACAAAATACATTCCGAATGGAAATGTTTCTAGTACGTGGAATTCATATCCCTGGTGTGTAGATACCTGCAGACAAGGTAAGCAGGGGTGGGGAGAGCTGTGTGGGGTGAGTCAGGAATATGGCCACAAAGATGGGGGGACTGTTATTTTTAACAATAACAAACAACAACAAAGAGCCCACTCGACAAACATCACTCACTCTTTCTCAACCTGTTCCCTTGATGCAGATTGACAGCCCTTTTAATATGAAATAAATCAGGCAGGAGAAGCAGTGTCTGGAAGAACATACAGATTGAGGGCTGACTGACACAACGCCTCCGAAACGTGCTCTGTTTGCATTTGCCTTTGTAACGGCGAACTTGAAAGGATGTCAGGCGCCTTGAAAGGCTGCAAGGATGCGCTTTGAACTTGGAAAGTGAATGTGCAATGCTTGGTGATGCTGGAGCCCTGCTGTGTGCTGCCAAGAACGGGAGCAGGCAGACCCTGCAAATACAAGTGGCCCTTCCCATCTCCCTGCCGACCTTGGGGTAAAAAGACATTTTATCTAATAACTGGTTTCATACTTAGTTAGGACCAACAAGTCCTCCTGAGGCAGTGGGCTCACACCAAAGCATTAGGATCGAGTCACTTCTCACCAAGAAAACCAGCTGGTAATGAGCCACGACACCTTTCAAGGAGGTGTGTGGTCAGTGTCCATCCCTGTCAAGTACACCCCCACCTCAGTCCAGTCTTCCAGATGCTGAAGTCCCTTTGGTTAGCTGCCTTCTTGGATTTCCTGGACTGTCTGGTGTTCACAGTGACCCTGTAGAGCAAACGCCAGTCCCCATCAGTCCTGAGACAGTGAAAGTTGGTTTCAACATCTCTCCTAGCACACGGGCAAGTATTTCCACTGTGGGCAAGAAAATGCTTGAGAGGTACGGGGTGCATCTGGAGTAAGCCCAGAGGAGAAACCAGAGAACAAGGCAGTAGGCAAGCACAAAAACAGCAAGCTCTACTGGAAAGGTGTCTGCTTTCTGAAGCCCACACCTATCCTCTTCAGCACCTTTGCTCCCTTCCAACTGGAGAGCCCGCCCAGGCTACACACCTGCCAGGCACCCCATCAGCAGTTTTGCTCCGACTAGCTTGGCTCCTTGATCATTCAGCAGTAGTGGTGGAGCACCTGTGAAGCACTGGTCACTGTCCTAGGTGCTTGAGCTAGAGTGATACTGAAGTCAAAGCTGTCCTCCAGGACTTACGTTCCAGTGGGAGACAAACAAAATGCTATTCCAAACAAAATAGGTATAGATTGCGAGAAATGCCAGAAAGGAAGGAGAGTAGACATAGTAAGTGGCACTAACCCAGCTAGCCAGGAGAGGAGGCCTACTTTCCAGGGAGCGATCAGGGACAGCCTGCTCAGCACGGTGACATGTGAGCTGACATCTAACACGTGAAAAGAATCCAGCCACATGACAGCGAGCAGGAAGAGTGGGCCAGGCAGAACAAACAGCAAGCGCAAGGGCACTGAGCCGGGGAAGCCCCTTGCAAGGCTGGCGAATCAGCAAGAGGCTGTGTGGCTGGGATATGGGGGAGACGGAGAAGAGGAGGGAGGCCAGGTGGGAGAGGAAAATGAGGTAGCTGTTGCAGGGTCTCTGCTGGGCTTTGGAGCCAGTGTGTCTGCCTCCCAAACACCTATGTGGCCTTGGGCAATATAACTGACCTCTCCAGTGGTCTCCAACTAGGCCAGTAACACATGCCTCATAGTACCTACCCCATGGGGCTGTCATGAAGATTACAGGAGCTGAGGCTGGTGCATGCGAACTGTTTTACACAGCGCCTGGCAGTGTCAGCATTCAAGACATGTTAACTGCTCCCATTATTTTCAAAGATGGGTTCATGTGGGGTGGGACGGGAGTATTAAATCAGCTTCTTGGGGCCCTACTAAGCCAGTGTACCTGAGCTCCCTATGATGTCAGGCCACCAAAAGCATTCGAGTGCAATTATAAGGAAATTACTTTCCCAGCAATTAATCACCAGTATGAGATTGCCAATACATATCATTGTGGTGTTATGACACATTGCATCATGTGATCAGAATGTAGAGTAGAAAGGGGACCATTTGTAGCTGACCTTATTCAAGTCAAATCAGCTCAATCAATTGAAAGTCAGTAGGAGTTTTGCCTGAATAAGGGTCAAGACCAATTATCAAAAGGCAAAATAAAACAAAAGGATGTTTTTAAAGATATTAGATCTTATAATAATTTTTCACAGTTCAGGGATACGTTGAGATAGTGCCTCTGTAATTCAGGGAATACGTTGTTCATAAAGGTTTTCTGTCTAGTCCTTTATTTCAAAAGAGTCTATCCGCATCTTTTTTCTTTTCTTTTTCAGATAGGGTCTCTCTTTGTCACCCAGCCTGGAGTTCGGTGGCACAAACTTGGCTCACTGCAACCTCCACCTCCTAGGCTCAAGCGGTCCTCCCACCTCAGCCTCCTGAGTAGTTGACACTACAGGCACACGCTACCATGTGCAGCTAATTTTTTGTATTTTTGGTAGAGATGGGGTTTTGCCATGCTGCCCAGTCTGGTTTTGAACTTCTGAGCTCAAGGATCCTCCTGCCTTGGCCTCCCAGAATGCAGGGATTACAGCCATGGGCCACCACACCCAGCTCTACATTTTCTTTTTATAGACTCAAAAATATGGTTTAAAAAAAGGTACAAAACGGCTGAGATGTGTATCTAAAACAGAAGACTTCTCACCAACTACCAATTACACTACTAACTTGGATTATCTGTGCCTCTCTGGTAGCCAGATAGCAGGAAAATGCTGGAAAACTCTACAACCGAATTTTAGCCATCAGATTTCTCCTCCATCTTGTAAGTCCTGCTGTGCTTCAGAAACTGACTGTAATTTCATCATAACATTGGCTTAAACAGTTTTAAGATTATAAGTATACCACTAAAAAAACAATTATTCTGTATATTTCAGAGCCAATGTTGTCTATGGATGGCTTGCCATTTTTGTAGTGTGTGTGGCTCTGCCCCCTTCAAGTCTCCTTAAAATAGCATCCAGCCTGAGAGAAAAAAGCTTCCTTAAACCTGCTGAGGTCTCTCACTGCCTCCAGCTACTGCCTCTTTCTTCCTCTGCAGTCTCCAAGCTTGGTTTGCACCTGCTGGCTCACCACTACCAAAATTTGTAATGGCTCCAACCAGAGCATTCGAATTTTGGAAGATGTTGATCAACAGACCTTATAAAATCATTTCAAATGTCTAATTTGGTAAATATATTTTCAATTTGATGAGGGAACCGAAAGCAAAAATACTTGGTAAACTGTGAGCATTTTGAGAGCAGAAATTATGTCTTTTATTCTTCATACCCCTCACCATGCCCTGAACTTACGAATTTTCCAATAAATAAGTGCTATGTAATTGGTCAGTTACAAAGTTAAATTGTTTTGTCTAGACAGAGAGGATTGATTTGGGCTATGTGAGTCAAGCTGACAAAGTTAAAGTTCAGATTCAATGTACAAGTGGTAATAATAGTACCTGACACTGAAGCTCAAGACATAATATACAACTGGTTTTTAAAAGGTTCAGAGGGAAGCAACTGAAAGGTTGCAGTAAGAGGATCTTGAAATTATATGAGTGCAATGTTGGGGGTGTGTATTTTGTACAATGGGCTTCTGGCAGTTAATCAGGTTTGAAAAGGGGTCTGCAGGCTGTGTGCAGTGGCTTATACCTGTAATCCCAGAACTTTGAGCAGCTGAGACAGGAGAATCACTTGATCCCAGGAGTTTGAGACCAGCCTGGGCAACAAAACAAGACCCCATCTCTACCAAAAAAAAAAAAAAAAATTTAATAAAAATTATCTGGGCATGGTGGTGTACGCCTGTAATCCTAGCTATTTGGAAGGCTGAGGTGGGAGGATCACTTGAGCCCCAGAGGTTGAGGCTACAGTAAGCCATGATCAGGCCACTCCACTCCAGCCTAGGGGACAGAGCAAGACCCGGTCTCAAAAGAGAAAAAAAAAAGGGAGGAGGTTGCTAGTTAATAAGATATAGTAGGCCAGGTTCCCAGGAAAATGAAGCCTGAGGCCAAAGTTCATGTACTGAAGCTTTGTTGCATCCAAGGAATGCAAAAGTGAGGGAACGAAGGAGTGAGTCAGGGAAAAAGGGAAAAAAGGGAGGTGAGATATCAAGCTGGGCTCCACTTACATGTAAGCACAACCTCTTGCTCAGTTGTGCAGGTGGTCTTCAGAGCGGCCGTAGGAATTACTACATTTCAGCCCATCTGTAAGGGCAAAGGCGACTGGTGGGGTGGAGAACAGGGGAGGACAAGAAGGAAAATTTATCCTCTGATTCCCATACCTCAATAGTGGAAATTTTGTTTCAAAGGGTATTAACCCCTTGTGATGGTTAATTTTATGTGTTCACTTAAAGGGTGCTTTTGGATGAGACTAATGTTTGAATCAGTTACCCTCTACCAGCCTTTACACTGTAACTGCACCATCGGCTGTCTTAGGTCTCAGGCTGGTCCACATTGCAGATTTTAGACTTGCCAGCCTCCATAATCACATAAGCCAATTCCCGAAAATAAACCAGACAGTACAGGTAAGAAGATCTCAGGTGATGCCTTGGGAGTGGATAATGCAGCGGGAAAAGCCAAGACCAGGTGCTGACCTTAGAAAGGTATGTTTATTTATATATACCTTTTATTTTATAGAATAGTCTTATGAATAAAATGAAGAAATGCGTGCTTATTTTATAGTGGGATGAATTTTCAAATAACAAGACAACATATACTCAAAGAGCATTTGTAGTTTAATGCCACTATCTAGATATATGACTTTGGGAAAGTGATTGGGCCTGGCTAGTTCTTAGTTTATTGATTTTTAAAAAGAGAGGATTGGATTGGCAATGTGCAAGTTTTCTCCCAGCTCTGGAATTACTATTTTTCTCTATGATTTGAACAAATGTACAGAAATTTAAAGAATATACAATCTGACACATCAAATGTCAGGTTCAAACTTTAAAAATATTTTCATTAATAGAAATAATGGACCAAAATCACTCTGATGAAATTTAGCTTCACTAAATAATGGACCAAAATCACTTTGATGAAGTTTCATCACTCTGATGATATTTAGCATCACTAAATGTCAAGTACTACATTTGTGTCCAAGCAATCCATTCCACAAGTACTGATTTTGGGAGACGTTTGGCTTGAGAGTCATTCCTGTCACACAACAACAAAAACAACAACCAACTCTGGGGATTTCTGTTGATCTTAAAGTCAAAAGAATGAATCAACTCCTAAATAATTATGTCCTTATTGGGGCTCCTTCACTGAGAAGGAGGCTGGAGAAGTCAGACCAGGTGGCCTCTGATGATCTATCCGTAGACTCCCAAGTTTCATCCATTCTTATCCCTTCCCTCCCACCTTTGCCTGGGCACAGTCAGACAGGGCACAGCACACAATAACCACAAGGTCAAGTGCTCTTATAGTGGCACAAGGTCACTCAGAGAGCCTCCTGGCTTTTACTTCTCCTCATCCTTACAGGACGATTGTTCCGGATTGTGGCTCCAATGCCTGGTGTATAAAATTACCCAAACACAAAGCTTGTAGACAGAAGACAGCTTCAGGATCCTCACTCAGCTCTTCAAGAGTTATAGGCATTAAAAGGTGGCCTCTGGAGTGTGCCGCCACTCTGCTGACTGGAACCAAATCTATCTTAAAGTTAGAAATATGATCCAGTTGGGGACAGACTGTGATTTAATGCCGTCCAAGTACTACAGGGTGCACTTCTTAGAGAAACCATTGTAAATTATTTGTGGCTAATTCTGCTGGTAGATGGAGGGCATGGGATATTCTCAAGTACAAGAGCCCAGCTTGTATCTAATAATTGTTATATCTTCTCTGAAATTTACTGCCGATGTCTCAATTTTAACAATTTAAATAACAAGCTTAACCAAGTGGAACGAGGCTCAGGCAGGCTGGCGCTCTTGATGAAAGCAGGACAACTCTTATGTCTGAGCGCATTTTTACTTTGACATGAGCAGTGACACACAGAGATGAAATCTGGTTAAAGCGGCAGCCTTCTCAACCCCATGACAGCTTCTTAGGCTAAGCAAAACAATTTCAAGAGAGTGCACACATATACTTGTTAACTTTACTTAAGAAGACTGATTAGAGGCCATGCTTATGAATATGATAATAAGAAGTGGGTGCTAGGAAGTTAAGCCAAGGCAGCTGGGTAAATGGTGCTGCTGTTGTCTTCACTTTTAATGGGCTGCTCAGTGGTCTGAATCTTTGGGTCCATCAGTTTGTTCAGAAACTAGGTGGGCCTCCTCCATGCTCCAAGGATCCACGATAATAGCACATTTTTATTTTACTTGCTGTTGCATTGGTGTTGATACTGTGAGTGGTCAAATATGATTTCCTGTAGATTATACTTATTACCCTTTTGATTCTCTTTACTCCAGGTCTTCACAAATTCTCCAATTTCAAAACATGTTGCATGCCCAAAGTTATGTAACATGCAAGGTGAAATCTGAGCCCTTGTGGCCATAATACAGGTTATGTTGGGAAATTGCAACATGATGGTAGCATTGCTCCCAGATCGCAAGGTCTTATAGAAGAGTAAAGAGACTAGCCTGTAAGCTGAAAGACGTTAGAAAACTCACTTTGCTTTTGTGGATCACTGTTTCCTCTTTAGTAAAGCAAAGAACTGGATGAACACTATCAAGTATATTCTAGATCCCCTGTCCTATGATCCTACGCTCTTAGTCCAAGGGCACTTTAGACTAATGCAAATTCACTTGCATTATTTTAAATTAAATATCAAGACTATTTTTTTTTTTAATTTTTTTTGAGACAGAGTCTCGCTCTGTCACCCAGGCTGGAATGCAGTGGCGTGATCTCCCCTCATTGCAAGCTCCACCTCCTGGGTTCATGCCACTCTCCTGCCCCAGCCTCCCGAGTAGCTGGGACTACAGGCATGTGCCACCACTACGCCCAGCTAAATTTGTTTTGTTTTGTTTTGTTTTGTTTTGTATTTTTAGTAGAATCAGGGTTTCACCTTGTGAGCCAGGATGGTCTTGATCTCCTGACCTCGTGATCCGCCTGCCTCGGCCTCCCAAAGTGCTGGGATTACAGGCATGAGCCACCGCACCCTACCAATATCAAAACTTTTAATATGGTACAATGCCTTATCAGCTTGGCAGTTTCTTAAGAAGTTAAACATACACCTTGCCATATGACCCAGCCATTGCACTTGTAGGTATTTACCCAAGGGAAATGAAAACTGAAGTCTACACAAACTCTTGGACACAAACGTTCACAGCAGCTTTATTTCTAATCCTCTAAATCCAGAAATAATCCAGATAGCCATCAACAAGTGAATGGATAAATTGCGCTCTGTTCATACATTGTTGATAAACTCAACAACATAGATGAATTTCAGAATAAGTATACTGGATGAAAGAAACCAGACAAACAATAGCACATACTGTGTAATTCCATCTATATGAAATTCCAGAAAATGCAAACTCATCTATAGTGGCAGAAAGCAGATCTGTAGTTGCTTCAGGACACGGTGGGTGGGCCAGGAGGAAGGAGGGATTACAAAGGGACACAAGGGTGATGAGTATGTTCACTATCTTGATTGCGATGATGATTCCGTGGATGCAAATATATGTTAAAACATATCACAGTGTACACTTTAAATATGTGCAATTTATTGTAGGCCACTTACACCTCAATAAAGCCATTTTTTAAAAAAGTCTCAATATTATGCATACACCTTAATTCCAACTCTAAGATTTTATCACAAATAATCAGAGATGTATATTAAGGTCTGAAGTATAAGAGCATTGATTGTAACACTATTTGTAACTTTTTTAAAAACTGGAAACAGCCTAAATTGAAGAAGAGAACTGATTAGGTAAAGTATAGCACATCTATATGTTGGGTTAATGCAGCCATTAAGTCATGCTGTAGACAAAATAGTTATTGTCATGAAAAAACTGTTTGTGATTTATTTCTGTGTGAAAAAAGCAAAGTACAAAACAACATGTGGTAGAATAGTGCAATTCTTTAAAGTCTATGTTAGAGGTTGATAATTAATCATACTTCTTCATCTCGGAGTTAGAAATCAATTGAGACAGACTAAGGAGTTGGTCAGATGGAGAGAAACATACCAGCTTTGTTACCAAGAGATTTGACTGGAAAATCGTAATTTGGAGCTAAGGCAAAGAAACATCTTGTTTCTAGGGGGTGCTGGAACAGAGCTGGGCTGTTCAAGTCAGTCCCTCCCTATCTCAGGATGTTCCATTCCCAGCACATTCAGCAGTTTATGCTTGCGAACTGTAAGCAAGAAAGGGAGGAGAGGACAGGCGCAGTGGCTCACACCTGTAATCCCAGCACTTTGGGAGGCCGAGGCAGGCAAATCACCTGCTATCAGGAGTTCGAGCCCAGCCTGGCCAACATGGTGAAACCCAATCTCTACCAAAAATACAAAAATTAGCTGAGTGCGGTGGCACACATTTGTAATCCCAGCTACTCGGGAGGCTGAGGCAGGAGAAGCACTTGAACCGAGAGACAAAGATTGCAATGAACTGAGATCACACCACTGCACTCCAGCCTGGGTAACAGAGCAAGACTCTGTCTAAAAAAAAAAGGGAGAACTGAGTTGGTCCAAGGACACCTGGAGAACTGTCCTGCACTCTGCACTTAATTGCCCCAGCTGGAAACACAGGGAGAAGAAAAGAATGATGCCCCTTGCAATCTACATGTCTCTGTAAAGATAAAGAGAAATAGACTGCATGGGCGTGTGCCATGCCGCCAGTGATGGCCGCCCTGCCTGGCTGGGTACTGGGACTGAGAGAGAAAGGAAGGGTTGTGGGTGATTATTTTTTTCTTTTTCTTTGGCTTTGAATTATTTTTAGATTTTCCAAGTTTTCTGAATATGTGACTTAGAGTAGGAAAATATTATTTTTAAAAAACAGATAAAGTAAATCAAAAGGAGAAAGAATGTCTGAACTTTCCAGTGCTGCTGTGGTGGGGAGTATTTGGTTTGAGGCTTCTCCTCCCCGCCTCATTACTTCATATACTTTGTAAAATAATGTCATATACTTTGTGTCATTTATTTTGTGTCATATACTTTGTGAAGATGCCATCTGGGGACACGTTGCCCATCATCTGTTACAGTGCTACACTGAAAATGTCGAAAGCCCTCGGTAAACAGGATTAGATTTTGCTTTTACCTTTTCCTTAGTTGACGAAGAGAGTGGTATGAAATGATTTTTCTAGAATAGCCTCCACTTAACATTCTCATGGGATTGACATTCAGGCAAAGCCTGGATCCATCTTCTCAAACTGATCAAACGAAAGCCTCATTGACCTCAGTCTGTTACAAAACTAAAGTTACAAAAAATTATAGACATTTGACTATCTAAAGCTTTTAACACCAAAAAATAAAATGCACTATAACAGAGCTATTTAAAATATAACTGCATAATTTTTAAGGTATTAATTTATAAAGACTTAACAGTAGCTTTGTCCTATAATAGGAAACAAAGTTATGCGCAAACCATCTTCCTTCCATTCTATTATCTTATAACCTCACTTTGAAGATAACACCAAAAGTCTAAATTCGAGGCCCTCTTTGAATGGAAGGCTGGCTCCCATA